GGGATGTACATATTCTTTGAGGTCTGCACTTTTCCTTTTGCTGTGCATGCTTCCATTGGGATCTTCGCATTCGCTGATCATCGGTGTGCCTACGTTGTTCTTGGCGCGAGTGATCAAACACAACCACAAGAGACGGCAGAACGTCAATACTGGGGGAAGCAAAATACGACATTCGATGGCGCACGGGGCACTATGCAGCACTTAGTGTACCTAGCAGCGAGGCCCGCCAGCACTCCGTTTGACGGCCCTTGGCATACTTGAGGACCGGTCAGGCACAGGTGGGCGCAATAGATGACCCTGTTCAGAGGTCAGCAGGCGATGTAGTGAAGAGAGAGAGCTTCGACCTGCCAGGCTTGAGCTGACTGTAGAGCGCCATAGTGTGCAACGTACAGGAGAGCGAAGGGTGACACACAGTCGCATGTCCTTGTGAAGATACATGACGATGACGGACATATCAGACCTGCTGCAGCGGATTCCTCCTCATCTGCTGCGGCCCATTCAGGCGAACGGAAATGATTCTGATGAAGAAGATGACATCTCGTCAGATGAAGACGATGAAGACCTGCAAACTGATGAACTTCTGAGTTGCCTTTTGGAAAGCATCTTCATTACGTGCCCTCTTTCATGTCTAGCTCGGCAAGGGGGCAAAGCCTGTGGCATACGGTTCTTCCCTTCACCGGTGGGTATGGTGGCTGGCAGTCTGCGTCACCTCCCGAGGACAAGCTGCTGGGGGCAACTAGTCAGCAGACGAAACATGATGCTGGTATAGAGCAGCGGAGTGTACAGGCGAATCAAGGGAGTGGGATGCTCTATGAACAAGCTGATGAAGACAGGGTATGTGATATCAACAATGATTTTTCGACATAACCAACAAGATAGTGAAAGAGACAACGAGCATATAAGTGGTGATGATGAGGGTGAGTATCATGCTCATCAGGATAATGATTGTGAAGAGCGCCAATATGATGGCAGCTGTGTGAGTGATGAAGATAAGGTGGTCTGTCAACAAGATGATGGAGACGGGTAACAAAAAAAAAAGAATACATATGGAGCTCAGGTCCTCAGGATGAGTTAAGGCCGACATCGGGTTCTACAACAACTACAACACTCTTGGAGATGGCGACTTGGGGAGAGGAGTGGCCCGCCGTGTGCAATTTCAAGTGCGAGTGTGATTGGCAAGTGATCCCTCAAACTTTGCAGCGATTTCGCGGCGGTCTCTCCACCGCTTCACAAACGAGAGGTATGTCATGACATTATGTTGGAGACGTACAACTACCAACTCTGGGAGATGTAGGCTATTATGCTGGAGAAACGTAGTTGGATTCCCTTGGAAATGGTAATACAAGGGGAGGAGATCGTGAATGGACTGGGAGATGATAGCGAAGATCGCCCCCCATCAAAGGATTCGAATGCTGAGCTGGCAGTGTGTAATCAAGAGGAGTGTGTGTCAATCTTGAGGGAGTTGCAATCGCTCTTGGCTCACTTACACATGCGGCTTGACGGTGTTCCTTTGGACTGCACTGACCGAGCGAATAGCTCAAGTGTATGGCTGTGGTCCTCTGCTGGTGACGGAAGTTACCATCACTGCTGTACAGGAGCTGAATCAAGCTTTGCGAGAGATGGTGGTAGAAGATGTTACGTGGGATGGGCAAGTGCTGCAGAAAGTTTTGCCAGGCGGAAGCATCCAGCCAGACAACAGAAAGAACAACAGAGATACTGTTGCATACTATAACGTGCAGACCAGAACAAGAACCGACCTTTCAATACAAAGTATAAGATAGCACAACGGAAGACTTAGATACCAGTGATCCGAACAATCAATGTTGTAATGCAGTCCTGAACATACATCATCATCATCGTTACATGGTGTGAAATGGGCCTGGCGCTTCACACAGGAAGACTGCGCCAGCCCATACCATACACAGACGAAGAGGAAGGGGATAGACGAAGAGGAGGGGGAAGATGGGAATGTCGTCAAC